CGAGGCATCGCAGAGGATAGGCTTGCGGCTCACGAGAGCAAGAGAGAGACATCAATACAACAAGGCAAGACCACAGTAGACGTCGTCGAAAGCATATCGACGAAATTCCAAAGCGTATTTATGTTTGCGTATCTATATTGTCACCTCGAGGCGTAATGTTATATTCGCGTTAACCACAACCTTCGTATTATATTTCGTTCTCGTTATAAATTTATATTACTGACACGATGGCTGACGAGATTCGCGCACTCATACAAAGACGTGCTACAATAAAAGCGCATTTAACTAGATTTAACAGTTACTTAGAAAAATGGTCTGAATGTCCGGACAAGCAGCAATTAATAGAACGTTTAGAAAAATTTAAAAATACATGGGATAGCTTTGACGAAGTACAGACTAATATTGATTTGGTAAATGCGACCGCCACTGGCGCACAATCGGACGATAACGAAAGAGCGATTTTCGAGGAATCATATTTCCAACTGGCCGCGCGTGCCCAGCGTCGACTTGCGTCCGTCAGGCCCCCCACGGCTAATGATGATGTAGCGACTGTCCAGAATCAGTCCGTACAGAACGTATCTGCGAATATAAAGCTTCCTACAATTAATTTGCCCACTTTTAGTGGCAATTACGAGGCATGGTTAGGTTTTTATGACAATTTCAAATCCATCGTACATGACAATGCGAATCTTACCCCTGTTCAAAAATTACAATATTTGAGATCATCGTTATCAGATGAGGCCGCGCAGGTAATTCAATCTCTAGAAACTTCCTCTCAAAATTACGAAGTAGCTTGGGCTCTTATAGTGGAACGTTATGACAATAGAAGAATAATAATTCAGAGCCACATTCGCGCGCTGTTTGACCTTCCGGTAATATCTAAGGAATCTTCAACACAATTACGATCTTTAGTTGATGCCGCTTTAAGACACACACGAGCACTTCATGCTCTTGGTCAACCGACGAAATCTTGGGACGCGTTGCTGTTTCACTTGTTAACATCGAAACTCGATCGAAATACTCACAAAGAATGGGAGCGCTCTCTTGACGGTACCGATATGCCGTCTATTGACGATTTTTGGAAGTTTCTAAAGAATCGTTGTCACGTTTTGGAAAGCGTAAGTCAGGAGGTCTCAGTGTATTCGAATCAATTGGCAAAAAATCAAGCGAGATCAAACAATATGCGAGGTAATCAAAAGACGCGACAGGCTCTTGTAACCGTGCATACTAAACTCGAGTGTGCAATCTGTAAGCAGAACCATAACACATTTCAATGCGAACAATTTCTCAAAATGAATCGTGATGCGAGATTTGCCAAGGTGAAATCTATGGGGCTCTGTTACAATTGTTTAAGACCAAATCATTTGGTTGATGAATGCAAATCAGGTACATGCAGGAAGTGTAAGCGTAAACACCACACTCTTCTTCATTCAGAAGGTGAATCATTTGATCGGGGTTCTGGTAGCTCTAACGCAGCAAACGCTAATCCAATCGCGAGTCTCCAGGCGGTCGTCGCCTCGCAGGTTCTTTTGGCTACGGCATCTGTGCGTATGCTAAATAACCGCGGAGAGCCCATCAAGTGTAGAGTTTTATTGGATAACGGATCTCAGTCTAACTTTGTCACGGAGAAGTTATGCAATATTTTAAATCTCGCAAAGAGAGAAGTTAGTATTCCGGTGTCGGGTTTCAATCAAAGTTTAACCCATATTAAGCATTCTGTTACGACGACCCTCCAGTCAAGGGATGGACGCTTTGCTGCGGAATTGTCATTCTTGGTGGTACCTCGAATCACGGAAACGCTTCCTGCACAAACGATTAATCGTTACGTTTTAAATCTTCCCCGAAATGTCACCTTGGCAGATCCCGAATTCTGTACTCCGTCGGAAGTTGACGCCCTGATAGGAGCCGAACTCTTTTACCAGTTGTTATGCGTAGGTCAGATAAAATTAAGCAACTCTGCTTTAATACTTCAGAAGACACGGCTAGGCTGGATAATTTCGGGAGCAATACATAGTCGGGAGTCTGCGTCGAGTCGAATTGCGTGTAATCCAGTAGTAGACTCTTTGGATGCCCAAGTCTCCAAATTCTGGGAACTTGAGGAAGTTTCGAGCGTTAAACATTTGTCCAAAGACGAAGAAGCATGTGAGAAGCATTTCTCTCAGACGTACTCTAGGGATGAGAGCGGGCGATATACGGTTAGGCTCCCGTTTAATCATAGAAAGCGCGAGCTGGGCGACTCTTATCAAATAGCGAAAAAAAGATTGTATTCACTCGAAAGAAGATTAGCACAGGATCCTCAGTTGCGCGAGGAGTATACGGATTTTCTTGACGAATACGAAAGGCTTGGACATATGATTGAGATCTCTGCTTCCGACGTGACCGAAGATGGATATTTCATCCCACATCACCCCGTCTTCAAGCGCGACAGCCACACAACAAAATTGCGGGTTGTTTTTAACGCCTCATCAAAGAGTAGCAGTGGGGTGTCGCTCAACGATGTGCTTCTCGCTGGCCCGACCCTTCAGGAAGACTTGTTCTCCATCGTTACGAGGTTTCGGACCCATCGATATGTACTGACTGCCGACATCGAAAAAATGTATAGGCAGGTCAGAGTTCATCCCGGGGACGTCAAGTACCAAATGATTTTATGGCGCAAAGGTCCAAACGATCCAATCAGAATCCTCGTTTTAACCACGGCGACCTATGGTACCATTCCGGCTTCGTTTCTCGTCGTTCGATCTTTGCAGCAATTATCCAAGGACGAGCGAAGGCGGTTCCCGCTGGCATGCAGGGTTCTTCTTGAGGATTTCTACATGGACGACGCTCTTACCGGCACATCAAATCTCGAGGAGGCTCAAAGGTTACGTGATGAGCTTATCGAATTGTTGGCCTGTGGTGGATTTCATCTACGTAAATGGTGTTCGAACGAGCCGAGTCTTTTGGAACCACTATTGGACAAATCCATGGATCCTCACATTTGCTTAAGCGAGTCTGAGACTCAAAAGACCCTCGGCATCCATTGGCATCCCCGTGACGATCAGCTAATACACGTCGTGAAACCGTTTACTGAATATCAACGAACGACAAAGAGAACCATGCTTTCTCAAATCGCTTCTCTGTTCGACCCTCTCGGATTGGTCGGTCCGGTCATAGTAAAGGCGAAAATTTTGCTGCAGCAACTGTGGCAGAACAAACTGGATTGGGATGAGTCTGTCCCGGTGGACATTGCTACCTCTTGGAACCAGTACAAGGAGCAAATCGAGATTCTAAATAATTTCGTCATTCCTCGCCAAATCACAGCAGAGAATGTAATCAACATCCAGTTGCATGGCTTCTGTGATGCAAGCGAAAAGGCTTATGGAGCCGTGCTATACCTGAGATCTACAACTTCCTCAGGAATTCATATAGTTCGATTGGTCTGTTCCAAAACGCGGGTGGCGCCTATCAAGAGATTGACTTTGCCCCGGCTTGAATTGAGCGCGGCGGCTCTTCTTGGAAAACTGTATAAATCTACCATCAAATCAATCAGAATTAATTTAGACGAGGAGTTCTTTTGGTCGGACTCTACGATCACGCTCCATTGGATCCAAACCTCACCACACAAGCTAAAAACCTTTGTTGCAAACAGAGTTTCGCAGATCCAAGAAAGTACTAAGCACGGAAAGTGGAGACACGTGCCGTCTCAGGACAATCCCGCAGACGCGTTGTCAAGAGGACAGTTTCCCTGCGAATTCGTCAACAACCCCATTTGGAAAAATGGTCCGTTTTGGCTGTCTAAGGATGAAGCTGCTTGGCCGTCGAATTTAATACCTAGTATTGAAATTCCGGAACAACGCTCAATAGTTGTCTTGTCAAACGTTCACGTTGTCGATACGGATCTACTTTCAAGATTTTCATCTTTTGCTAGAATGAAAAGGATCATAGCGTACTGCATACGTTTTGCCTCCAGGTGTCGATCCTTGAGGAACGATTCGGAAGACCTCAGCACTGAAGATTTGAAGAAAGCCGAAATGCGTATTGTAAAATTAGTTCAAATCACCGCCTTCGAGAGCGAGTTACGTAGTTTGAGTCAGAAGCGTCCGCTAGATAAGAAAAGCAATATATTGTCGCTCAGCCCGTTCTTAGACGACGATGGAGTACTTCGAGTCGGGGGTCGTTTGAGACACGCGGATCTGAAGTTCAGTCAGAGGCATCCTATTTTGTTACCTTCTAATAATCATATTACAGAATTGATAATTCGCGAGACTCATGTTAGGCTTTGTCATGCCGGAAGTCAAGCAACCTTGTATGCGATAAGAGAAAAATATTGGCTGTTAAATGGTAGGAATCGCGTTAAGGGAGTAATTCGGAAATGTGTGATGTGTTCTCGCTGGAGGCCGTCGACCCCTCAGTATGAAATGGGCAATTTGCCAAAGATTAGACTAGTAAGCTCGAGACCTTTTGAAAACGTCGGCATCGACTTTTGCGGTCCGTTCTTAATTAAGGAGAAAAAGTATCGTAACCGCAATAAGATCAAGATTTACGTCGCTGTATTTGTGTGTTTAGTTACCAAGGCTGTTCATTTGGAGATTGTGAGCGATCTGACTACTGAAGCGTTTGTAGCTTGTTTGAAGCGTTTATTCGCACGCCGTGGCAGGGCTCGGGTCATTTGGTCGGACAACGGTACAAATTTTTTGGGCGCGAGTAATCATTTGAAAGAGATATTCGAGTTTTTCCAGGAAAGGGAAAATGAGCAAAAAATAAATCGGTACTTAGTAAATGAAGGAATACAATGGTCCTTTATACCTCCCCGCTCACCGCATTTCGGGGGAATTTGGGAGGCTTCCGTGAGAGGTTTTAAACATCACATGCGTCGTATGGTTGGAGATGCCCTATTCACATTTGAAGAATTCAATACTTTTATAATAGAGGTAGAAGCAATATTGAATTTGAGACCTCTCACGCCCATGTCGTCTGATCCGAATGATCCGCTTGCCCTGACACCAGCGCACTTTCTGATTAATGCGTCTTTACAAAGTATTCCGGAATACGACCTTACAAATGAGAATTCAAATCGCCTTTCGTCATGGCAACATATTCAAAAGGTAAAGCAACATTTTTGGAAGCGTTGGAATAAGGAGTATTTAAACGAGCTGCAACAGCGTACCAAGTGGGTTTCGAATAAAGCGCATAATATTAATATAGGAGATCTTGTAATTCTCAAGGAGGAGAACACTCCTCCGTTACGTTGGATCACTGGCAGAATGATAGCTACTCATCCTGGCGATGATGGTATAGTGAGAGTAGTGACGGTTAAAACAGCCCACGGTGTATATAAGCGATGCGTTAAAAAAATATCTCCGTTACCCATCATAGCATAAGAATCGAGTCACTTGTGTTTTTTTTTGTTTGTCGTTCTATCGTGTATTCTTTTATTCCTATGACTAGTTCATGTTGAACGTATATCCGTTCAAAGGGGGCGGTATGTCTAGACTTCGTGTAATATTGTACGGCCCTGCGCCATCGTTCCCCCTCTATTCGACTTGTAACGGAGCGAATTCGACTGAGACTCTGAGTAGTCGTTGTACCATGGCCGCACGCGCCACATCCTCGTGACAGTTCGCAATAAAGTATTATTTTAAATAAGAAGAGAGCGTACTTCGACCTACACCATCATCTATCAAAAAATAAGTGGTCCAGAATTAAAGATTTTGCCACTAGAAGGACGACCGGCGTGCATACACATACGAATCTGCAAGGCACACGTCGCATCCGTCCAAACAAGTAGAGCAGCACGAAAAATGCCTATTCGGGAACCGCAGTATATCATCGAAGCACAAGAAGCAGCTAGAAAAAAAGATATAAAAGTAGAAAGTAGTATTGAAGCTAGCAAACAATTATTGTCGAACACTACTACCACTGTTGCTGTTCCAGAGCAAGATGACGATTGCATTATAACTGATTATTATATACGAGATCTAACTGAGAATGACATAAAAAGTAAAAAAAAAATGTTAGATAATGTAATAACTTCTCTCCGCTTAGTGAAGGATAATATTTTGTCTATAACTAATAAATTAAGTGATGAATCGTTAGATCTATTTTTACGCATTGTAAGAGAGACTTCTTGCTTTGAAACACAAAGTGTGTTATACTTACAATACCCGCACTTAATTAAAGCTAGTCGTAGCAATAAAAGCTTACAAATTATTGGCGGAACTTGCACAGATCATTGGCGATGTATTTATTTTAATGGCACCAAACTTCATGTATACGACAGCCTATCTGGTACTACGTATGATAAATTGGCTACTAAAGAGAAAGAATATATTCGCCTTCGTTATCCCAAGATAACGAAATATGATATAATTTGTGAAAAAGTACAAATAAAACAACGGGATTCCATTTCTTGCGGAATTTATGCTGTGGCTTTTGCTACAACTGTAGCCTTGAAAGAAAATCCTTGTAATGAAAAATATTCTACTGACGTAAAATGCATGAGACGTCATTTATTTAAAATTCTAGAAAATAAAAAATTATTGCCTTTTCCGAATTAATATTTTTCATTATTTAACACATCTTTGTAAGCTTTTATTGCTAAATATTGCTCAATAATTGTTAAATTAACATTTGTTAAATATTACTAAATAATTGTCATTGTATAGAACATATAGTAACATGTAATTGTTACTGTATCTCGCATGCAAATAAAAATTTCGGAGAGACGATAAAAGAATATTGGATGCGTTCTCACGGGAATGGGCGTTGGAGGGGCCCATTCTATATTTCATATATGTAATATTTATTATGACAATTATTTTATGTTATATTTTTGTTTTGAAAATAGTGCATTGCAAATCAGATCGCAATTTGAACTGAGGTGATTGCGTCGCAAAGTGTTAATATGAGATAGGTTCTTTTTGTTTTGCAATGTATTATTTTTAAAAATACATAGTAACAGGAACATGAAACAAATTACAAAATACAAAACCAAAATTGCATGTAAAATAACAAAAAATATTTTATAAAGTATACTTCCCATAATATGGTTGAGGTCACTTTGCGACGCAATCATTTAACTTAGTTTAAATTGCGATCCACTCGAATTATTAATTCGTGTTGTTTATTCACATAATTTCATTGTTTTTTTTCAGATTTATAAATTAATAATATATTTTATTGTTATTATAATTAGTCTATGCACACAGCATAGAGTTGCTTATTGTTGTAAGTGAAGTCACCATATTTAAAAGGCGGAACACTTTAAATGGAGAGGCGTGGATACCACTGACTCAACGCCATTATATTGCAGCAGGTAACGTGTGCACAGTGGGGGTTTTAGTGAGTAAGAATCTCACACTACCCCGGACAACGGAGGTGCCTTTTGAAGGTTTCTCCCACGTGAAAAAAAATTGCTTATTATAAGTACTTACTATACATTTGTTTATTGTAAGTACTAATAATTTGAAAGCATAAATAAATTGAGCCATCCCGAGTCGAAATTTTACTCCTTCTTTCGACCTCTTATTTTTACATCTCAGGATTCTGGAGGATTTTGATAGGTTCTAATTGTATTGTACTTAGCTCCTACTTTGTGCCTGAAAACGGCAGAAAACGGACTGTTTCCCATTTTGAGGTTTAAAAGAGGAGTTATCGGTAAAACCCTCCTAAACCTCCTAAAACCCTCTAGATCCTACACTGATAGAAAAATGTACTAAATTTTAATTAATGTTTTCTCCAATAGTCCTTATAAAGTATTTTTTTAATTCAGTTAATATTTTTCGAATAAAAAAATTATTCATCTAATTGAAACAAATTTTCTAAACCTAATAAAATATTTACTGAATTCAAAAGAATACTTTATTAGGACTATTGGAGAAAACATTTATTGTAGTACATTTTATTATCAATGTATTAATTTTTACTACTTTTTAAATCGTAATGAAACATGTTCCATATCACGTACATCATCGGTAATTCATATAGTATAGGTTTTGGTAAATTTAGCAACGAGATACGGTTGTGACTTTGACTTATGTTGTCGTATCTCATTGCTCTGTTAAACGCAATATTTATCTAGATTTATTATTTAAAATCTAAGATTTTTAATATCAAAAAAATATTACCGCAAAATATTTTATAACATTGTTAATTAATCAGATACATATAGACATACATGTATCACAATTAATAATGTTATAAAATTTATATAATAAATCTTTTTTTATTAACCATATGAAACACAACTTAAATAAAAACTCCACTGCAAGTCACCGATAATATACATGACATAGAGCATGTTAATATGATAATGTGGTAAATAGCATATAGGGGGGAGAGTCAGAAAAAATCTAAGAGATTGCACACGTTTGTTTCTAAGGTACAAAGGAACATATATTTATTTGTTTACACTTTTTTATCTACTTGTTCATGTACTCTTGCATACTATCTAAATTAAACTCATATTATATCATAACGAAAAAAAAAAAAATTTTTAACCATTTAAAACAATTAATATATGTATTGTATCTTAATAAAAATTAAAATTAAAATTTAGTTTCAACAAAATTAAAATTAAAATTGAAAAATGTCTTGATACTGATTGTGAGTATCTTAAAATGAAATATCTTAATACTAATAAAACTTAAAATTAATACCTTAATACCAAATAACTAATCGCATATCACAAATGCCATTTAACAAATAATATTAATAATACGGAATTAAGGAGTCTGGATTACCGATTGAAATCAAAGTAAGAAAAGAAAAGAGAAGAAAAGAGAGGGGGGGCCTCTGCATTTGTCTACGAGATAAATTCTAGGGCCAAAATATAACCCAGAGTCACAAGAATAAGAGCAATTCCAAGATCTCAAGACGAGATTAACCTTGCAGAGCTCCTTGTACTACTACGAACAATGTCGATCTTCCAATATGGCGTCCTAAATGAGAATATCGGAAGGGCCCTGCTCGGTGGACCGGACTCCTCGCCTCAATTCTCCCTCTCGGACGCGAGCTGCCGCAGCTCTCCTTTTCCTGGCGGTGAGCTCTCCTTGGGAAGTCGAATCTCGCTCGGTTGGTCTCCAGAATATGTGCCGCTTAGCTCAATCAGTTACGAAAGAAGGAAAACGTACTCGTCTTGTCCGAAGAAACGCAGCAAGAGCGGCCATGACACTGAACTGACTGAACGAGAGCGAGCCGAGCGAGGAAAGAGTGGGGGCGCTTTGAAAGTGGCGACTCACGCGTCGCGCCATCTACATCTGAATGAAACGATCGGGCGTTTGCAAAACGCGAAGGAATTCGAGCGCAATATCTGAAGTAAATATTAAATTAATAATAAATAAATGTCAAATAAATGTTTCTTTAAATCATTATTGCAAATAAATAATTAATGTAAAATAAATATTACATTACTGTCGAATAAATGTTAAATAAATGTTTTTTCAATTCATTATGGCAAATAAATAGTTAATGTTTAATGTAAAATAAATATTAAAATAATGTCGAATAAATGTTAAATAAATGTTTTTTTAACTTATTGCAAATAACTTACTAATGTAAAACAAATATTAAATAAACGTTAAATAAACGTTTAATAAATATTTTTTCTAAATTATTACTTCAAATAAATAATCAATGTGAAATAAATATTTAATAAACATTAAATAAATATTATTTTTACAATGAATTGTACAAATGTATAATTAATAAAAAATGAATATTAAAAACACATTTAAAAAACATTGTCTGCTGATTGGGCAAGAGCTTGAATAAATAAATACCAGTCCATATTCAATTATCGTAAATTTAGTAACATGTAAATATATGAAGATAAGTAATTATAAGAAGTAATAACAAAAAGAAAGATGTTTTGTAATAGTTTTGTATATATTTAAAATTTCCTACCTTTAGTTTCACATATACGCATGCGTACTCATACATACACACATTCTTTTAATTTTATTTTGAATTATTTTAATAAATAAAGAAAAAAGAGAGAAAAAAGGAAAAAATAATATAGAAAAATACAATTTTATATAAATAATCATTTATACGTCATATATAAAATTATTTTTTTTAGTTATCAATAATATAACTATTATTATTAACCTAATAAAATTCCTTTTAATTTTGTTTTTACTATTTTTGATTAAATTAATAAATAGAGAGAACCGTTATTATAAACATTTATTATAAACGTTATTATAAACGTTTAATAAATCATATATAATATTTAATCAAAAATATAATAAACTTATAATAAAAATAAACTAAATGCAATAAATAAATTAAGAAAACGTTAAGAACATTAAAGTAGGAGCATGATTTCTTTTCAAACAGAATTGTCAGATTCTAAATAGGAGCCAGAGGTTGAAGAGGTTGA